GCTTCAAGTCTCCTCTTCATCTGTGAGGAAATTGTCCAGCATTCACTGCCATATAGGAGGATTGATATTACATAGCAGTTCAGCACTCTTTTCTTTGTTTCTCTTGCTTCAAGTCTCCTCTTCATCTGTGAGGATCTTGTCCAGCATTTACTGCCATATAGGAGGATAGATATTACATAGCAATTCAGCACTCTTTTCTTTGTTTCTCTTGCTTCAAGTCTCCTTTTCATCTGTGAGGAAATTGTCCATCATTCACTGCCATATAGGAGGATTGATATTACATAGCAGTTCAGTACTCTTTTCTTTGTTTCTCTTGCTTCAAGTCTCCTCTTCATCTGTGAGGAAATTGTCCAGCATTCACTGCCATATAGGAGGATTGATATTACATAGCAGTCCAGCACTCTTTTCTTTGTTTCTCTTGCTTCAAGTCTCCTCTTCATCTGTGAGGAAATTGTCCAGCATTCACTGCCATATAGGAGGATTGATATTACATAGCAGTTCAGCACTCTTTTCTTTGTTTCTCTTGCTTCAAGTCTCCTCTTCATCTGTGAGGAAATTGTCCAGTATTCACTGCCATATAGGAGGATTGATATTACATAGCAGTTCAGCACTCTTTTCTTTGTTTCTCTTGCTTCAAGTCTCCTCTTCATCTGTGAGGAAATTGTCCAGCATTCATTGCCATATAGGAGGATTGATATTACATAGCAGTCCAGCACTCTTTTCTTTGTTTCTCTTGCTTCAAGTCTCCTCTTCTTCTGTGAGGAAATTGTCCAGCATTCATTGCCATATAGGATGATTGATATTACATAGCAGTTCAGCATTCTTTTCTTTGTTTCTCTTGCTTCAAGTCTCCTCTTCTTCTGTGAGGAAATTGTCCAGCATTCATTGCCATATAGAAGGATTGATATTATATAGCAGTCCAGCATTCTTTTCTTTGTTTCTGTTTGCTTCAAGTCTCCTCTTCATCTGTGAGGAAATTGTCCAGCATTCATTGCCATATAGGAGGATTGATATTACATAGCAGTTCAGCACTCTTTTCTTTGTTTCTCTTGCTTCAAGTCTCCTCTTTATCTGTGAGGAAATTGTCCAGCATTCATTGCCATATAGGATGATTGATATTACATAGCAGTTCAGCACTCTTTTCTTTGTTTCTCTTGCTTCAAGCCTCCTCTTCATCTGTGAGGAAATTGTCCAGCATTCACTGCCATATAGGAGGATTGATTTTTACATAGCAGTTCAGTACTCTTTTTCTTTGTTTCTCTTGCTTCAAGTCTCCTCTTCTTCTGTGAGGAAATTGTCCAGCATTCATTGCCATATAGGAGGATTGATATTATATGGCAGTTCAGCATTCTTTTCTTTGTTTCTCTTGCTTCAAGTCTCCTCTTCATCTGTGAGGAAATTGTCCACATTCATTGCCATATAGGAGGATTGATATTACATAGCAGTTCAGCACTCTTTTCTTTGTTTCTCTTGCTTCAAGTCTCCTCTTTATCTGTGACGAAATTGTCCAGCATTCATTGCCATATAGGAGGATTGATATTACATAACAGTTCAGCACTCTTTTCTTTGTTTCTCTTTTTTTCAAAGCCTCCTCTTCATCTGTGAGGAAATTGTCCAGCATTCACTGCCATATAGGAGGATTGATTTTACATAGCAGTTCAGTACTCTTTTCTTTGTTTCTCTTGCTTCAAGTCTCCTCTTCTTCTGTGAGGAAATTGTCCAGCATTCATTGCCATATAGGAGGATTGATATTATATAGCAGTTCAGCATTCTTTTTTTTGTTTCTCTTGCTTCAAGTCTCCTCTTCATCTGTGAGGAAATTGTCCAGCATTCATTGCCATATAGGAGGATTGATATTACATAGCAGTTCAGCACTCTTTTCTTTGTTTCTCTTGCTTCAAGTCTCCTCTTTATCTGTGACGAAATTGTCCAGCATTCGTTGCCATATAGGATGATTGATATTACATAGCAGTTCAGCACTCTTTTCTTTGTTTCTCTTGCTTCAAGTCTCCTCTTCATCTGTGAGGAAATTGTCCATCATTCACTGCCATATAGGAGGATTGATATTACATAGCAGTTCAGTACTCTTTTCTTTGTTTCTCTTGCTTCAAGCCTCCTCTTCATCTGTGAGGAAATTGTCCAGCATTCACTGCCATATAGGAGGATTGATTTTACATAGCAGTTCAGTACTCTTTTCTTTGTTTCTCTTGCTTCAAGTCTCCTCTTCTTCTGTGAGGAAATTGTCCAGCATTCATTGCCATATAGGAGGATTGATATTATATAGCAGTTCAGCATTCTTTTCTTTGTTTCTCTTGCTTCAAGTCTCCTCTTCATCTGTGAGGAAATTGTCCAGCATTCATTGCCATATAGGAGGATTGATATTATATAGCAGTTCAGCATTCTTTTCTTTGTTTCTCTTGCTTCAAGTCTCCTCTTCATCTGTGAGGAAATTGTCCACATTCATTGCCATATAGGAGGATTGATATTACATAGCAGTTCAGCACTCTTTTCTTTGTTTCTCTTGCTTCAAGTCTCCTCTTCTTCTGTGAGGAAATTGTCCAGCATTCATTGCCATATAGGAGGATTGATATTACATAGCAGTTCAGCACTCTTTTCTTTGTTTCTCTTGCTTCAAGCCTCCTCTTCATCTGTGAGGAAATTGTCCAGCATTCACTGCCATATAGGAGGATTGATTTTACATAGCAGTTCAGTACTCTTTTCTTTGTTTCTCTTGCTTCAAGTCTCCTCTTCTTCTGTGAGGAAATTGTCCAGCATTCATTGCCATATAGGAGGATTGATATTATATAGCAGTTCAGCATTCTTTTCTTTGTTTCTCTTGCTTCAAGTCTCCTCTTCATCTGTGAGGAAATTGTCCAGCATTCATTGCCATATAGGAGGATTGATATTACATAGCAGTTCAGCACTCTTTTCTTTGTTTCTCTTGCTTCAAGTCTCCTCTTTATCTGTGACGAAATTGTCCAGCATTCATTGCCATATAGGATGATTGATATTACATAGCAGTTCAGCACTCTTTTCTTTGTTTCTCTTGCTTCAAGCCTCCTCTTCATCTGTGAGGAAATTGTCCAGCATTCACTGCCATATAGGAGGATTGATTTTACATAGCAGTTCAGTACTCTTTTCTTTGTTTCTCTTGCTTCAAGTCTCCTCTTCTTCTGTGAGGAAATTGTCCAGCATTCATTGCCATATAGGAGGATTGATATTATATAGCAGTTCAGCATTCTTTTCTTTGTTTCTCTTGCTTCAAGTCTCCTCTTCATCTGTGAGGAAATTGTCCAGCATTCATTGCCATATAGGAGGATTGATATTACATAGCAGTTCAGCACTCTTTTCTTTGTTTCTCTTGCTTCAAGTCTCCTCTTTATCTGTGAGGAAATTGTCCAGCATTCATTGCCATATAGGATGATTGATATTACATAGCAGTTCAGCACTTTTTTTTCTTTGTTTCTCTTGCTTCAAGCCTCCTCTTCATCTGTGAGGAAATTGTCCAGCATTCACTGCCATATAGGAGGATTGATTTTACATAGCAGTTCAGTACTCTTTTCTTTGTTTCTCTTGCTTCAAGTCTCCTCTTCTTCTGTGAGGAAATTGTCCAGAATTCATAGCCATATAGGAGGATTGATATTATATAGCAGTTCAGCATTCTTTTCTTTGTTTCTCTTGCTTCAAGTCTCCTCTTCTTCTGTGAGGAAATTGTCCAGCATTCATTGCCATATAGGAGGATTGATATTATATAGCAGTTCAGCATTCTTTTCTTTGTTTCTCTTGCTTCAAGTCTCCTCTTCATCTGTGAGGAAATTGTCCAGCATTCATTGCCATATAGGAGGATTGATATTATATAGCAGTTCAGCATTCTTTTCTTTGTTTCTCTTGCTTCAAGTCTCCTCTTCATCTGTGAGGAAATTGTCCAGCATTCATTGCCATATAGGAGGATTGATATTATATAGCAGTTCAGTACTCTTTTCTTTGTTTCTCTTGCTTCAAGTCTCCTCTTCATCTGTGAGGAAATTGTCCAGCATTCACTGCCATATAGGAGGATTGATATTACATAGCAGTTCAGTACTATTTTTCTTTGTTTCTCTTGTTTCAAGTCTCCTCTTCATCTGTGAGGAAATTGTCCAGCATTCACTGCTATATAGGAGGATTGATATTACATAGCAGTTCAGCACTCTTTTCTTTGTTTCTTTTGCTTCAAGTCTCCTCTTTATCTGTGACGAAATTGTCCAGCATTCATTGCCATATAGGATGATTGATATTACATAGCAGTTCAGCACTCTTTTCTTTGTTTCTCTTGCTTCAAGCCTCCTCTTCATCTGTGAGAAAATTGTCCAGCATTCACTGCCATATAGGAGGATTGATATTACATAGCAGTTCAGCACTCTTTTCTTTGTTTCTCTTGCTTCAAGCCTCCTCTTCATCTGTGAGAAAATTGTCCAGCATTCACTGCCATATAGGAGGATTGATATTACATAGCAGTTCAGTAGTCTTTTCTTTGTTTCTCTTGCTTCATGTCTTCTCTTCATCTGTGAGGAAATTGTCCAGTATTCACTGCCATATAGGAGGATTGATATTACATAGCAGTTCAGCACTCTTTTCTTTGTTTCTCTTGCTTCAATTCTCCTCTTTATCTGTGAGGAAATTGTCCAGCATTCACTGCCATATAGGAGGATTGATATTACATAGCAGTTCAGCACTCTTTTCTTTGTTTCTCTTGCTTCAAGTCTTTTCTTCATCTGTGAGGAAATTGTCCAGTATTCACTGCCATATAGGAGGATTGATATTACATAGCAGTTCAGCACTCTTTTCTTTGTTTCTCTTGCTTCAAGTCTCCTCTTCATCTGTGAGGAAATTGTTCAGCATTTACTGCCATATGGGAGGATTGATATTACATAGCATGAAAGAAGGGATAAACTTCTACTCTTCTTCAAAAGACTATTCCGACCACTCACATATTCATGATCGCTTACGGCCACGTAACGTTC